GACATAATTTGGCCGCCGAGGTCCATGGAGTGCGTATAAACGTTGGCGAATTACAATCACTAGCCTCCCAAATCTCCTCGATTCGACAACGTGCCAGTCCTCGCAGATAGTTGCGCTTGTGATGGAGTGCCCTCGCGCCGAGACAGGAATTCTGGCGACCACCAACTTTTTGTACGTTCAAGGAAGAGAGTAATACGCGGGGTTCACTAATAGTTTAAGTTTTTTGGGTTTTCTTTTATTTTTAACCTAATTTAATTATTTTTTGTCTCTTTTCTTATATGAATAATAAAACAAGTATTATATTAGGTAATAAAATATATTAGCCGTACGCAAGCCTTGAATGCTTGCCTCTTTTGCACAATCTGCGAGGCAATCTACAGTTCCCGAAAATATACGCCGGCCTAATGCAGGATAGAGCCAGACAGCACCCTACGCGGTAGGGCGGTCATTTTTGCTCGTCGTGTTGCAGCAGGGACTTCTCCCGGGCCGCTTGGAATCTCTATTTCGTAGACATGGGTTGCTCGGATGCCGCACTTCACATTCCATACACGAATAAACGGATCGGCGCGGACATATGTTGCGTCGTTCACGGGAGAAAAACATGGAGCCATCACTCTTGTAACCACTACAGTTTGCGCAAATGCAGAAATGGTAACCCGCCATTACTAGCACGCCGTCTCATTACCCGTGCTCAAAACGCCTGCTGTCCAAGATTGCCAACTAATCGAACGCGACCCAACCAAAACGAAACATAGAACCGAGAAGACGCCGCCCAGAGATTTCTCCTAGTAGTCTTCTGAAAACAGAGTAGGGGGGTGCTTGTCGTCTTCGTCGACACCATCTAGCCCGAGGCCCTTGCCCTTGTCCCATTCCCGCCTTTCCCCGGCCTTTGACCAAACGACATGCTCTCCGGTCTTGCCAGCCGTCCCCTCGGCTCGCTGTATTTCTTCCTCTGTGAAGCCGGCGTCCTTCATCCGCTGCTGTTGGTGCAATCTGAGTTTCTGTCGGTCCCTAAACGACTCCAGTGCATCATCCCAGGCATCCTCCTCGTCCTCATCCATCTGCAGGTCCAACCTGGGGTCGTACGACTCTGAAAACCGACGGTCTAGTTCCGCCGCACCTCCTATTGTCCCCCGACCGCGGAATTTCGGAGGCGGCGCTGGTCCTATCAAGTCTTCTAAAGGGTCTGAATCTTCGTCTGGCGCCGGTGGTGGGCTAGGCTTCTTCTTGCTCCGCGAACGCGAAGAATCCCGTGACCTTGATCGATGATGCGAGCGTTGCCTGCGACTGCGTTTTCGATGGTCGGGTGAGCAGGATGATCGATGCCGCCTCGGTGACTTGGATCTGCCATCTCTTCGTGACCTGCCATGTCTGTGCCGACTTTCATTTTGGTCTGATGACGCATGGTGTTTGCTGCGTCGAGACCTCTTCCGGTCGTCGCTTCCAGATTCGGCATCGTCATCGGTATAGTCGCGCTCTGAGAGTCTTCCATAGCGTCGGTCATTATGTTCACGTCCGCGTAAGTCATCGCTTCTGTTCCCGGTTTTCCTTTCGCGGCGATCCTTGCCGTCATCTTTGTCACGTCGAGTTGATCTGCCCGAATCGTCGTCGTTTCCCCGCCGCCTGGTCCTGCCGCCGAGAATAGCATGGATGTCGCCCATTTGACGTCTCCGTATGTCCTTGGCGTTGGGGTTCGTCTTCCTCCTCTTTATTTCCTCGGCGTGTTCGAGGTCTTTTAATCTCGCTTTCGACTCGGCGGCTTCCTTTGCGAGTAGGGCCTTGTTGTGGGTGTCTGTGTCTTTGATGATGTGGCGCAGGAATCGCGTATTTGGTTTGGGCATGGCAGAAGGCCTAGTACATGTCAGGATCAGAAGCTACCGGCGAGGATTCGGACTCCGATTTACTTTTTGTTGTCGCGAAAAGCTTCCATACCCATCGCCGAGTACTTCAGCGAGCAGTCCTTGGCATCCTGTGCCAGGAGACCGGCCACGTAATCATCCGTGAGAAGTTCATGGTTGGACATTTGTACAATCGACCAGAATTGGACCAAGAATAATAGCCCAAACCCCGCCCGAAAGTGCGAAGCAGTGTCGGCGCATGGGACAAATGAAAGTGGAGGAGGAGGAGTCGGTCGCGGAGCCATTGACTCTGTGGGCGGTGATGTCGAGTCCGATAGCCAGCAAGGCTACACGCACTAACCGGTTTGGGCGCCAAAGTAAACACATTTCCACTTCAAACACCATTCTCACCCCAGACACGTCAAGCAAACGTCCATAACGTCCAACCCCCAGAGCACCGAGGAGACTCAGACGAGGAGGAATCATGAAGTTCTTGCCTGTGAAATAATAGAGAAGCAGTACAATCCCCGAAACAGGGCCAATCTTTCGCCATGGCGGCTACCGACGCGACACAAGCCCTCGAGGCTCTGAAGCGCCTGCAGGCAAAACAAGAGATATCCATCATCAGACTCAGCGAAACCATCACTGATCCTGCAGAGCAAAGTTCACGGCCACGGGCATCGGATGCATCAAATTCACTCCTCGATGGCCCTACCCCAGCCGGCCTCGAAGCGGACCTAGCCCACTACACCGAGCTGTTCGCAAAGCTGCGATTCTCCTACGTCGAGCAAGTCACCAAGGAAAAGTTTATCCGCGCAATCGTCGGCGACCCGCCGTTAATCGTCACAATGCAGGAGAATCTAGATTTAGAAAAGGAAAACGCAGAAGCCAAGGCCAAACTCAAGGCGCTCAAGCAGGAGGTGGCGGCCATGGTGACGGAGCTCGAGAGTAGAGGGCGAGAACTCAGTCGCCGGTACGAGGCCGTCCAGCTCGACACGGCGAAATTGCAGGATCTGCCTGCCAAAACACAGGAGCTGGAAGCGCGGGTCAAGCAGCTAAGAGCAACGCAGGAATTGTCAGGTGCCAACCCCAACATGAACCTGCCTCTGGCCAGGACACTTGGCTTGGTAGAGCGGCGCAGAGCCGAGCAGCAGCAACTGGCGCGGGAGCTCGAGGCTCTGCAGGCCAAGGTGCCCAGGAAGCAAAAGGAAGCAGAGCGCCTGCAAGCCGAGCTCGGACCATTGGAAGCCAAGCTTCAAAGCAGCTCAGCTGCAGCACGCGAGGCGCAGAGGAGAAAGGACGCGGCTCTAGGCGGCGTGGCAGACGACTTGGAGCAACGAGCGCGGTGGTGGAGGGCGAGCGAGGACGTGCTCAGGCGGGTTTTGGATCTCAAGACGTAGCCATTGCATGTTCCAGTAAAACGACAAGAGGGCTGGTGTTGGACGATTACGTGTAGCAACGAGTTTGTATTTGTTTCGGAGCATTTGGGATAAGCGGACATGGAAACGAGGGCGTTGGATGGCAGATTTGGGTCGGTCGGGCATAGGGCGCATAAATGGTCTGGTAGGACGAGAATATATGAACCACGTATTTCACGCCCGGTGTTGGATGCAAACTACTTCGCAGGCAGCCCGTCGTCCCGGGCCTCATTGCCAACTCGTACTGGGGTTCAAGTCCACCTCTTGTCGCGCCCATCAAGACAGCCAAGAAGCAGACCAGCAAAAGAATGACAAGGGGCTTCTGAACCACCGGGCGAGTAGTGCAACATGGAGTAACTACTCAACCTCAACAAGCCCACCATCTGATTCCTCGGCCCTGACTATCCATCACGGTACGGAGCACTCCTCACCTGTTCGCCGAATATGCCCAGACTAGGGGCAGAAATTGGTTCCTGCTGGCCCCCTAAACCATAACCCTTACCCTATTTCGAATTACCTTGGAATCAATTCCACATTAATTCTCAAAAGCATACATAGAGATGGGGAAAGATATCTGTAATTTGCAAGACACCGCAGATATCGGTCCCCTTCAAGCAGATATCAGTTCCCTCCGAGGAAAGGCTGGCCCCCTCAGTAACCCTAGCCCTGACAAGTATTACCTTGGAATCTACTTGGGATTAATTGTGAATTTATTCTCTAAAAGTATATTAAAAGAGAGCTAATAAATCCGTACCATATTTTCTTCAGAGTAGCATTTTACAGAGTAGAGTGGAGCAGAGATATTAATCTCCCCTTTATAATTTATGTAAAGAGTCATATTCTAAAAACTGATAGTTTATAAAAGGCACCCGGTGCGCAAGGAGACGACATAAATCTGTCAACAAATTCATTGGCAGTCTCAATTGGCGTCTCGATCGGGACCTGGTGCATGAGATTCCATGACAAAGCGTCAGCTGCAATTAATTCGCTGAGCTGCTAGTTTTGGAGAAAACCAGCCTTTCAAGTCTCGAACAGCGCGTGTTATTTGAAGCTTGTTGCATAGGTTACACATTTGGCCGACTCTAGCTGCAACAAAACAGCTCGGCCTCGCTCCATGACACTATCGAGCCATATGCAATGCGCCTCGCTTCGTTGTCAAAGTATTCATCTCCATCTGCTCGCCGTACTCGCCAAGGTCTCAACATGTTTCCTCACTGATTGTAGGTCGAGTCCGTGTACCTTTTTTTTTGAGAGGCGACGATTTGTTTGTGTATTTGCTTCTACCTCTTCTTGCCCGGGGACTTCTCTTGTTACATCATCTACTCTGATACGCGCTCGACTCTTAGATGGGCGACGTCCCCAGGAGTTGTTCGGCGAGCCAAGTTGTCTGGCACGCTTTAATAATAGTATTAAAGTACTTTTTATTTAAGAGTAATATATTATCTCTTTTTAAGTAAACTAGTTTAATTATTTTATTTAAAAGTACTTTAATAATATACGTATAAAAGGTAAAGCTAGTTTGGCTTGGATCGGATCGTCGCTTCATGGCTGAAGCTAGAAGCGACGCTTGATGCAACACTACTCGAGGTTGGATCTTCGTGTCCAATTATGGTCGACACTTGACTAGGTTCCTTTGCATCATTGCCTGCATGCAAATTAATGTGCAAGTCATTCAACCGTGAATCATATTCTGAATTCTCGGCTATTCCTTCCTGAAGCACATCATGCGCATCCTGCCATGATGTTAATCTTTGAGCTTCATCGTAGATATCGTCGCCATCTTCAACAGCTTCATATTTGCAGCCTGAATAAAGTGATCACGATACGATTTAGCTACTTGTCTCGCATTCCGAAATACTGTTGCGCCTTGGACAAAAGTGGCACGATTGTCCGTCATATCAAAGCCACGTATTTTGGTCATGTGGTATTCAGGAGACCCGCCGGCTGTGACGGCTGACATGAGATGATGTGCGTAGATTTTCAGGGTCCCGTCGTGATACGTGGAACTAAAACAATATGCGTTCCCATCGTATATAGGCGCCGACTCCTTATAATTTTGCAAAGCGTGCATGGTGCGGGTTCCATTCGCTCCCACGAAGCGTGCTTGTAGTTCTGCAACATTCGCGCCTCCCTTTCGGGCCTTTGCTTCCAGGAAGAAATTAGCGGCAACTGGGGCTCCAGCGTGCTTTGTGGGTATAATTTCGTGATGCAGCGCCTCGCTCAGTGCTTTATTAAGAGATCCTGGATGAGCCCCGTCAAAGAAGTCAGGGACGGGCTTAACAGTCGCCTCAGCTGTCAGCGAGGAAAGGTTTGTGAATGGAAGATGACCCTCGTTTGGGATATTTGCACTGCCTGCGATAATCGGTACGACGTTACGCATGATTGTGCCTTCGGAATTTGTTTTATTTTTCCGTTTAAAGTCACGGAACGCCGCCTCTGAAAAATGCGAGGGCGAGAGAGAAGCTCTAGCAGCTAGCAGGTCTTGCCGAATAGTGTCCATATTACAAGGCTCTGGGGTTGAGTGACTGCGGTCATCTGGAAACTCATATCCATCAGGGTATATATTGTGATCGATAAGATGCTGCTCGAAATCGTCGTCATACGCGGATGATCTTCTAGTCTTGGCAGATGAGTTTGTCGCTTTCGTGGATTGCGAGCGTTGGCTTCGTGACACGGAGGAGGACACAGGAGACATATTGTGTGTGGCGGCAGGCGATTTCGGATACTATCATGGGTCACTTAGTCAATCTAGCTGTAAGATTTGGTCCAACAGCCATACCGCTCGAAGATGGGTAAGATCTGGCCCGCCGCGTCTTGAAAACCGGGCAAGATCTTGAGATGGTACACCAAACGATTTTCTGCACCGTGTAGTAATAGTGCGCGTTTGCAGGTTGTTCCGTCGATCGAGTTCGCGCAAGGCACGCGGTGTGAGCCAGACCTTGGTTAAATTGTCCCAAAACTTGGACGAAAAGTTGGCTATGCAACCCGCGTCTATCAACTTTGGCTTCTTTGCGGGTTCGGCGTCTTGCGAGATATCACCGGTAATGCATCTTTTCTTGTTTCTCTCACCCGCCATGGGCAATACGGACCGGCGAGAAGAATGGACTGCTAAAGGTGGTCGCTGGGGTCGCGGGCAACGGCCGCCTTAATAGGCGCCAGAGGGGTCATCCGAACAGCACGATTCGATGAGTGCGTGTCGTTTCCAATGCGGGGGCAAGTGGTTTCACAGATGGACAACATCTACCAACCATTTGCCGCCCGCCTGGGAACTAGCGACCATGCATACGAATTTTGATGCGTAAAAGCGTGAATGGAGGTTGGTTTGCTGAAGTGCTTGCCGTTGAAGTTGACAGATGAAACCCTGCTAACCTATAATAGGCAGCCCTCCACCTTAAGCGCGGGCCGCTGTCGAGGGGCCCCACCAATTACCTCTAATTATAGTAGCGAGTTAAATATTACTTTTAGCAACTTGAACTCTTGAAAACCAATTCTGTTACCTACGTACATGTTATTTCTTACGCAAGATGCTTGTACAGTTATTCGTACGTGTGGTGGAGCCCTTTCGCCTCAGCTGTCTGAATCTACGGCTGGAAAAGGGAAGATGTGGAGTGAGTATACCGATTCTTGGCGAAGGACTCGAGAATCAAGCAGTCCCTGGACGGGAATAATGTTGAATAAAATACGCGCGACACGTAATTTTTTCTTTCATAGTATCAGCGGTATATACAATGCACCAATATTTGCACTAATGAGCGTGCCCATCTAAGAATGCAACATCAGGTTCCAATATGTGCGCTTGGCGACAGAGCCTCACAGCCGCGTGTGCTTCATCACCAGCGAAAGGCGCAATCCCCTTCCGCATGGCTGAATCCCCAACTGAAGCAGCCAAAGCCTCCGTTTCTTCACGACCAAGTGTTCAGGTGCGGGACCAGCTGTCCAATGTATTCCCCAGGCCAAGAAAACAAATGGCTATTTTCGCATTGGCCAAATTTGGCCCCGGGGGAAACGAGCGAGGTGATAGCGAAAGCCGAAAAAGCCAACGGCGGCTGGGCGGCAGACGTTATTTTGGCGCGAGGCGACGAATAACGAGGCACGGCTGTTTTGCACGCGGCGGGCTTGTTCCGCTGCCAGACCATCGGCATCGCCACGACAAGGCCAATACCGTCATGCCTGGTTCGACGGAATTCGCAACACCGCCGTCGCGTTGGCTGCACGGGAATATGCCCCAATCACACTGTCTTGTTATGCGAACAGCAGCTGCTCTTGTGTTGGGTTTAAAAAAAAAATCGTTTATTTTTTCCTGCCCGGCCCTAGTACTGCACACGCCCCCTCCACCCTCGTATATTCCCCCATTTCGAGGCCATGCAAATCCACGTGTGAGATGACAGGCCGTCATGTTATGCTTGGCGGGGTGGAAACGTCAGCATGAAAAGCGACGAGGTCAGTTGATGTCTAATTTTTTTTTTATTTACTTATTTATCTTTTTGGCCTCCTCGGCTGCTAGTTAAGGACGGCTTAATTTGTGTTGGGATCCCGGCGACGTCTTCACTCGCACTCATTATGAGAATCGTCACGGCATCCACGACGTACAAGAATATACAAAGAGGGAAATATCACAGAGCGGGTAGTTGTGCATCGTCACGCTACCATGTCATGATAGGGTTATGCCTGTGCTGACTGACGGGCGAGATCGGCAGTCCGTTCGGCTCCATGTCCGCAAATACTGACACCGCCGACGACGGACGACGGACTATGGACGGACGTCCGTTAACTCCATGGCCAAGGGGTCAACGGTGCAGGTGTCGTCTAGCGGCGTGGAGCAGATGAATTAAAAAAAACCGGCGAGTGGTATGGTTTCATGCACCGCTTCCTGAAACCCCGTTCCGAGTACACAGGCCGTATCTGCTGTAATGTATTTTCCAAATCCCCGGAAATTGGAGATTGGCCACATGTCGGTGAGACACGGTGGTTTGAGCGTCGTCCGTTTTTTTTTTTTTTCAATTTCTTTTTGCGCCCCTGTCTCTCCGTGATTGCCCCATAAAATCAGGACGTCTACGGAGTACTATTCGACGCCTTACCCTCCCGCCGGTGCTGCAAGAGGCCGCTGAGTCAGCCGCCTTTCTGCAGCAACTGTCGTCATCTCAGGCGGGAACAGCCAAGTTACACACCACGCTACCATGTCATGATAGGGTTATGCCTGTGCTGACTGACGGGCGAGATCGGCAGTCCGTTCGGCTCCATGTCCGCAAATACTGACACCGCCGACGACGGACGACGGACTATGGACGGACGTCCGTTAACTCCATGGCCAAGGGGTCAACGGTGCAGGTGTCGTCTAGCGGCGTGGAGCAGATGAATTAAAAAAAACCGGCGAGTGGTATGGTTTCATGCACCGCTTCCTGAAACCCCGTTCCGAGTACACAGGCCGTATCTGCTGTAATGTATTTTCCAAATCCCCGGAAATTGGAGATTGGCCACATGTCGGTGAGACACGGTGGTTTGAGCGTCGTCCGTTTTTTTTTTTTTTCAATTTCTTTTTGCGCCCCTGTCTCTCCGTGATTGCCCCATAAAATCAGGACGTCTACGGAGTACTATTCGACGCCTTACCCTCCCGCCGGTGCTGCAAGAGGCCGCTGAGTCAGCCGACTTTCTGCAGCAACTGTCGTCATCTCAGGCGGGAACAGTCAAGTTACACACGCGGCGGCCAAAGCACACACGTGTCTGGGGTAAACATGTCAGAATTTGCCGGCGGCCCCTCCTGCATCAAACATTTTGATTCTCAGAAATTGCCTGCGAATATGCCGACACCACGACCTTGCAACCCCCCAACGTGGGCATGAATAAGCCGAGATCACGGCGCAGTCCTCTGTAGGACTAGACGCAGCGCCCGGGTTCACAGTCCGCATAATTCGCGACATGACGCACTTTGCATTTTTCGCATTCCGCCTCGACGCCAAGCCAACCGTGATTGCTCGGCGAACGCCTGCTCCCGCGTAATCACCGCATCTAACACCACCTGGCCCCCCCCCCCCCCCCCCCCCCTCATTTTCCTTT